ACAGATCTCAAACCTCCCGAAAATATAATAATATAATAAAAATCCTTGCATTTGATATAGCATTTTATCACGTTGTTAAGACATCTCAAAGCACTTTACAGGATTTATCAAAGAGTGTAGTGACTGTTTTTGTAGGGGAACAAAAAAAAATCTCCTTCATCCCTATCCCCAAAACAGCCCCCCCCCCCCCCCCCCCCACCCACACTCATAGTCTGGCTCTAAAAAGCACTCTGAAACATCACACGACATATTAGCCGAAGGATGCAGTATAAACACACGTGGCTGTTGTTTGGATTGTTTATGCTTCTTGGAGGATTTTCAGCATCAAAGAGCTCGTCAGCAGTTGACATTCATCTCCCTCTTTCTCTCATTAATCAGTCAAGCCCTCGTTTCTCTACTCAGTTAACATTAATGACTGACTGCGTTGCTGCTATATTTTCACCTTGTTTCACTCAGATTGCAGCACTGAGCCTGGGGGACAGGGATGGGTGGTGTCAGCAGCAGTTCCCAACACCACACGCCTTTGCCCACTGTAAATGGAGACTGAGTGACCACAATACAGAGACAGGCTCTGGCTGGAAATTCATACAGTGATGGCATGGTCAGGTGTCCATTAACCTCTGTAAACCTTGGCAGGACCAACAAGATGCAGTCAGGCTGGCTCAGTTGGTAGCACTCTTGCCGCTGAGTCAGAAGATTGTGGATTCAAGCCCCCACATGAGGACTTTGAGCTCATAATCCAGGCTGCCACTGCAGTGCTGGGAGGAAGTGTAGCTTTGTCAGAGGTGCCATGCTTCAGATAAGACGTTAAAACCGAGTTCCCATCTGAACCTGTCCAAGTGAAAGTTAAAGATCCGTGGCACCGTTCGAAAAGAGAGGAAGTTTCAATCTCCTGGTGTCTTGGTCGACAATCCCCCAGATAAAATTGATCATTCACTTCACTGATGTTTGTGGAAATTGCTAAGTGCAAATGAGCTGCCACGTTTGCCCACAAACCACTAAGACCTTAAAGTAGACATATTAGATCTCAATAGGTCTAATCCTTTGCATTGAATTTTGCTTTGAAGCTTTGAGACATCTACCTGGCTGTGAAAGCTTCTGCATCAAATGCAAGGATTATCATTATTAATAATAATAGCAAAGGTGACTAAGTCAAGTCAAGGGACCCGCCACGTCTCCGGATGCCATTCTTATTGCCCCTTGTGGTTCCAGGCCAGGGCACTATCGCAACTACATCAGTGGGATAATTACCACATCACATGGCGCATTTTGCACCTTTAGCCAGTCAGTATCCACATCGCGATACTCAGTGCTCGGTTGTGGTTAGTGAAATGTTGCTTCTTGACCAAAAGTGACCAAATGTCACTGGGGGAAACTCCTTTCTCGTATTTCATTTCTCATCATGTCATGGGACCTTTAACGACCCCTCAGAGTAGAGCCATGCTGCTATAGGCTTGTGTAAGATGTATTACAGTAATGCATAGATGTTATAATACAAGCGACATGCCATTGTCACAATGAAGACAACCCGATCGCTGCTAAACAATTAATGTTCACACAACACTTTCAGGTTGGCAGTACGTCCCAATGCTGACTGGGAGCCCAAACTGGGCCCACAAAACACACAATCACTACACTTTATGGTAACTGTGAAGTGCTTTGAGACATCTCAAAGATGTAATAAGGTGCTATATCAAATGCAAGGATCATTATTATTATTATTAAAAGTGGCTGGAAAAGATGTCTGATAGTTCAGCTCTTTACACTACAAAGCACTACCTTACACTCCTGAGCACTTTTTGTGCCAAAAATACCATCTACTTCACCAACTGAGCAGTGATGACCACCAGCTCCGTCCCTACCATAAACAACCTCCAAAACAGCAAGTTGTTCCTTCAACCATTACAGCCCATCATAGAATGGGGAGAGAGGAAAAAATGATGTTTCATTAGTTTGTTCTTGCTGTAGGTGTTTGTGTTAGAATCAAATGTTCAGCCCTAAATAACAAGCTCAAACCAGAGATGACAATGTTCTTTGTCATTTTCACAAATTCAGTCTGGATTAAGAAGGCCCTTTGGCCCATTCAATCTCACCCCTCCAGAACACCCCCACTGACCAGCCTCCCATTAACAGCATCAAGCTGCTTTTTAAGTGAGTCTTAGTGTCCTGATCTCAACCACCCTTCCTGGCAACCTGCACCACAGTTAATTACCCTCTGCATAAATCAATGCTTCCTGATGTCTGTCCTGAAATTGCCCTAAACAACTCTAAACCTGTATCCACTTGTTCTACTGTCTTGGTGCATCCTGAAGTATTGATGTGGATTTACTATCTCAATTCCATTTACAATGTTACACATCTCTATAAGGTCCCCTCTGAGTCGCCTTATCTCAAGACAGAAGAGCCCAAGCTTGTGTAATTAATGCTCCTAGATCACGTCCCACAGGCCATGGACTTCGCTCACAGCTCACTCTCAGCTACAATGATACATGCATGAATAATTTATAACTTCTTTTTCACAAATATGGAAATTCATTCCAAACAGCCAATTACTTTACCGGAGACAGATTTCAGAGACCCGCGTGGTGACCCAGACAAATTCCCATTTTGAAAAAGCATCAGCTCAGATTTTCAAAATGGACCCGGCAATTGGAGAGTCATGTGATAATCACATACTCACGTCATGCGATTAGCCTGCTCAGAGCAGAGCACCCAACAAAAACTACATGTAACCGGAGTCAGAGCGAGCTCTGATGGATGGTCTATCATCCCGTACCGTCACCATGTAAATAATATCCCTACATCTGATTTCGTGTCAGGAGGACGACTCAAAAGTGCTCCACAAGATATACAGTAAAGTGTGTTTTGCAACAGTCAATTCGTGCACAGCAATGTCCCCACAAATAGCCATCAAACCAATTTTATCTGGGAGATTGTTGGCCAGGACACTAGGAGAAACTCGCTTTGATCTTCAAATCATGCCATGGGATCTTTAATGTCCATTTGAACATGCATATGGGGCCTCGGTTTAAGGTCACATCCAAAGGATGACAAAAATACAACACACCCCCGGCGCTGCATTGGAGTGTCAGTGTAGACTATGTAATTCCAAGTCCTGACATGGGGCTTGAACCCATAACCTTCTAACTCAAGAGGCGAGAGCGCTACCACTGAGCCAGGCTGGCACACAAATACAGTCACTATACATGACAGAAAAACTCTCCAAAGCTGTTTGAGGCATTGATGTAACAAGGCATTGTATCAAGTACAAGGATTATTAATTACTCTTATTACTAATTACAATCAATTGCATCTTTTTAATGCTGTGTTTTGCGTTGTCTGGTACAGCTAAGAACCATCAGAGACTTTTTAAATTATAAAATAAAAGCCGTGTATTTTCAGGGATCTATTTTCCCCCCCGTCACAAAGCAGGAGGAAATCAAAGCAAAGGGGAGGGGGAATGCAACACAACACCCCCCCCCCCCCCCCCCCACCAGGTAAATTCAAGCTTTACTTTGGATCATCTCCTTTAATGGCATTTGCAAACTAATTCCTAGTAACAGCAGTGCAGCGAGACTGGATGGACACATCATCACGGACTGGGGGGGATCTGTTTTTTTTAAAACTTTTTTTTTAAAAACCAATTTCAACCAAAGCAAGTGAACATCAGTCAAAATTGATAAACTATTTTAATAGTCCTCGTGCACAGTGTGTTTGGGTGATTTACCAACACAGTGCGTTTGGGTGTAATGTCTTTCCACTGTCAACTCTTCAGGCAATTCACGAACATTGTTGTCCATATGAAGGGTGTGTTATACCGCTCTGTACCCTAACCCTTATTCTGCTGTGTTCTTCGCAGAACTATCCTGAAGTCCCTAAAACTGTGACAATCGGAGAACTGTACCCATTGAGTATCTCTGGAACTCCATCCTGGATTCCCTCCAACTCGCTCCCCCCCCCTCCCTCCCTCCCTCCCTCCCCTCGTTCAAGGCATGGCTCAAAGCGTACCTCGTTGACCTCACTTTCGGTCATCTTTCCCTCAGTCCCCCCACCCTCCCCACCCACTCCCTGAGCTCAGGTGCCCAGACAGCCATGTCAGAGAGCTCGGAGATGTTCCGGGGTGAAAGGCGCTCTATAAATGCAAATTGCGTTGGCATTGCTGCATATTGTATTGTATCAGCCTGGACTGGACTGCCCGGGGTGTGGAGATGGCTTTAATACAAACCATCTAAATAACATCCAGCCCCAACTCCACAGCATCAGGGAAGGGGGACTAGCACGGACCATCTGGGCAGATGGCTGGTTTTATTCTCCCTCTCATATTAATACGAATTGGGAGTGAAGTTCTGGTCAGTTGAAGGGATTGCTGCCCCTGCCCAGACTGGGCTGCTTCCCTGGAATGATGTGCAGCCCTGCCCAATTCTCAGAGAGAGAGAGAGAGAGAGAGAAAGAGAAAATAACCTGCAGTGTGCATATATATAGCCATCCAAAACACTCGTCATAAGCCTTGCAAACTACGCACGTTACTTTCTGTCACATCTCATCCCCCAGTGTGAATTTCCGCAGCTCCCTTTACGATGCTGAATATGGCACATCGTTCCTGTAAATCCTCCAAAAATAACGAAAGCGTCTTATTAAAGTGGCCACTGAACTTACTGCCATCTGAAAAGGAACTACAGTCATTGTGTGCAGAACCATTGCTCGAAGCAAAAAAAAAAGTCAGTCACAATTTAAATCCACTTCCACGCCGAGTGATCAACAACACCTCAGGATAATTCGAAGCATTTCACCACACGTGCCCCCACCCTCTCACTGATGTACCCCCACATCCATACACAATTGCAGCAGTTACCAAAAAAAAAGAGCAGATATGAGCTTTAAAGCGTAAAGCAATTTACGTTGTGCAGGTCTGTAAGCAGACCGGGGGCAAGTATTATTATGATCATAATTTATTATTATTATTATTATTATTATTTTTAGTGCCATGAAACGTTTCTCACCTTGGTTTCCTGTTGGCTGGACACGGATCCAGGTGACCTCTGGAGCTCTGTGCTCTGGGGCTCGCTGTCGGTCTCGCTGTTCTCTGTCATGGTGTGTGTGTGGTGGTGGTGGGGTGTAATCCCAGCGCTGTGTGTGTGTGTGTGTGTGTGTGGGTGTGGGGCAGAGAGCGGGACAGGTTCCTGGTGCTCTCTCGCCATCAGAGCCGCGCCGCGACACTCGGCACAACTTGGGCTCCACTGCGGTGTAGCCGACCCGCGCCTCTCACCGCTCATTGGCTGCCCCGCGGGGAAGCGTTACACTGATGGGCGGGGCTCCGCCAGAGCGGCCTCTGATTGGCTGCTCTCGCAGCAGGGCGGGGGATTTCAATCAATGTGGGCGGGGCCATGCTGTTGGAGGGAGGGAGGAGAAGGGAGGCGCTCCTCACCCTCACCTGTCCCCTCACCTGTCCCCTCACCATCACCCGTCCCCTCACCTGTCCCCTCACCCTCACCTGTCCCTTCCCATCACCTGTCCCCTCACCCTCATCTGTCCCCTCACCCTCATCTATCCCCTCACCATCACCTGTCCCTTCCCATCACCTGTCCCCTCACCCTCACCTGTCCCCTCACCATCACCTGTCCCTTCCCATCACCTGTCCCTCACCCTCATCTGTCCCCTCACCATCACCTGTCCCTTCCCATCACCTGTCCCCTCACCCTCACCTGTCCCCTCACCATCACCTGTCCCTTCCCATCACCTGTCCCCTCCCATCACCTGTCCCCTCCCATCACCTGTCCCCTCACCCTCACCTGTCCCCTCACTATCACCTGTCCCCTCACCATCACCTGTCCCCTCCCATCACCTGGCCCCTCACCCTCACCTGTCCCCTCACCCTCATCTGTCCCCTCACCATCACCTGTCCCCTCACCCTCACCTGTCCCCTCACCCTCACCTGTCCCCTCACCCTCACCTGTCCCTTCCCATCACCTGTCCCCTCCCATCACCTGTCCCCTCACCATCACCTGTCCCCTCACCATCACCTGTCCCCTCCCATCACCTGTCCCTCACCCTCACCTGTCCCCTCACCCTCATCTGTCCCCTCACCCTCACCTGTCCCCTCCCATCACCTGTCCCCTCCCATCACCTGTCCCCTCACCATCACCTGTCCCCTCACTTGCCCCTTACTGTCCTGTAAAGGTCCTCTCACCACACTGAAGGCAGGTGTCCATCAGATAGCTGATGAAACTCTGACACTTGGGATGACAGCTGCTGAAAGGCTTTACCTGGAATCCGAGTTCGTGAACACACATGAACACATCCAGCGCTTGGAGTCCGTCTCGGTTGGATTGCAGAGGTAAGAAGCTGCCGCTCAAGCTCTGCACCTACAATTGGTGCCAACATCGCTCAATGGCAAAGGACTTATAGCAATGTCCCACAAACAGCCATGGAGTGAGTGGCCAATTTTATTTGGGGGTTTGTGGCCCAGGACACCGGAAGAGTTAAACTCTCATCTCTTTTTGAATAGTGCTTCAGGATCTTGAACATCCACCTGAACAGAAGGATGGGACCTTGGTTTAACGCTTCATCTGAAGGACAGCACCTCCCACAATGCAAAACTGCATTGGAGGGTCATCTTAGACTATGTAATTCCAAGTCCCGAAATGGGGCTTGAACCCACAACCTTCTGACTCGGAATGAGGCTGACACTCTAATTCTCTGTCTCTCACACGCCACAAATTGTACTGGAAGCTGTTATTTCTTTGTGAAGGAAAAATCCATATCATTTTCATGACTGTGAGTTGTATTCATTGTCTATTATTGCCTCTGAGGTCGCCTACAATTACACAGAGGGCTCCAGCACCGAAACAGCCCATTTGGCCCATCATGCCAATGTTTATTCCACACAAACCTCCACAGCCCCTGTTCTCCAACCCGCACTGTCTACAGATTGTGAGTTTGCCGTCTTCGCACAGTGGCGTCCTGTAGCTCAATGGTTGGAGCGCTCGCCTTGCAAGCGAGAGACCTGGGTTTGATTCCCGGCAGGACAAAATGTTGGGCAAGTTTCCTTGCTCTACATGCCTCTGTTTAGCAGTAAGCAGGAACCCGGTTATTAGTCAATTGGCAGATCGCTTTTCTGAGGCTAATTATTTCTTTAAAAAAATTAGTCACTTCAACCCACGACTCTTTGTGGGACACTGCTGTGCGCAATTGGCTGCCGAGTTTTGCCCACAAATATACAGTCAATTCACTTTACAATATATTCTGTGAAGTGCTTTGAGATGTCTTGAAGACCTGATAAGGCATTATATCAAATGCAAGGATTATTATTATATTATTACAATAATAATCCTTGCATTTGATTTTGTGCCTTGCACAAACTGGCCGCAGCATCACTACAGTTTACAGTATATCCTGTGAAGTGTTTTGAGACGTCTCAACGACGTGATGAGGCGCTATATCAAATGCAAGGATTATTATTATTATTAGAGAGAGTAATAAAAGTAACATTTCTTCAGCAGCCTATTGAGCAGATTATTGTGGCTCAAACAAATGCTGAGGTGTGCTGTACACAGCAGGGGCTAAGAGCTGGTTCTCAGTCCATCGCATTGTAAATACATGCTGCAAAAATAAAGAGAGGAGTCGGATTTTTATTACGCTTTATCACGTCAAGCATCTTAAAGTGAGTGGAACATGTACTGACACAATTTACGTACATACATAAATCGTTCTTTAATTACAGTCTGGGAATGTGGATATTTGAGAAAGATTAACCAAACTTATACTCTTATGGTGCCTTACATGTGGAAACCTCTCCAAGCTCTTTACAATAATTAGTAGGAAGTGTAGTGACTGTTTTTTTTCCTATTGCACTTAGATACCAAATGTATCAGATACTCCAATCTCTGAATACGGCATTAAAATAATCACCCTTGTATTTCATACAACACCTTATCAGGTCAGGAGGACGTCTCAGGATTCTCAGGATTTACTGGAAAGTGTATTGACTGTATACTTTGTAGGCATACGCAGTCAATTTGTGCACAGAAATGTCCCACAGGCAGCCATGAAGTGAATGAGCAATTTTATCTGAGGGTATTTAATGTCCACCTGAACCTCGGTTTAACGTCTCATCCAAAGGACATTGCAATGCTCCTGAGCACTGTTTGGAGCATCAGCCTGGACTATGAGCTCAAAGGCCCAACATGGGGGCTTGAACCCATAAGCTTCTGAGTCAGAGGCGAGCACTCAAACAACTGAGCCAAGCTGACATCGGGTTCCACCATATCTCTCACATAATACTCTTCTCAATTTTCTTAAATTCCAAATAATTAAAAGTTTACCTTAAAACTGCTTGAAATTAAGATTTATCACACCATTGGAATCATTTTCCCAAGGTTCAAGGTTACAATGCTTATTTCTGTTGTGTTTACCGTGCATCTACATCCTTGTTTAATTCCTAAACTTCGTACCTGATGATCACTATTTTTTGATTAACTCATGGTCTCAGCCTTGCTCACTCGGCAGCACTCCCAGCTTTGAGTCAGAGGTTACGGGTTGAAGCGCGTGTTGGGAACTTTGAGCTCACACATTGAAGTGCCGAGAAGCACGGAACTGTCAGAAGCATCATCCTTCAGGTGAGACGTTAAACTGAGCTCCCATCAGTTATGTTTAGGTGGACATTAAAGATCACGAGACGCTATTGGAAAAGAGAAAGGAGTTTTTCCCTGTGTCCTGGCCAATATTTCCTCAACTAAAAATTAAATTGGTCACTGTGTTTATGTCTATTTGTGTGATGTTGCTATGCACAAATTGGCTGCCAAGTTCACTTACAAATAACAACCAAAATAAACTGCATTCATTGCCTTTTGTAGTCACTGCACTTTACAGAAAAGTTCTGTGAAACACGTTCTGAGGTGACTTAATTGCAAGAATTATTTTCTCTCCGACACAAGTGAGACTAAATTTACATACTTGCCATGTTCTGCTTGATATTGAATGTTAAGAAGATGGACTTCAGGTTAAGAATATGGGAAATTTCAGGTCTACAGTTATTACACTATTGAGGAATGACAGATTCATTATTTATATTAATTAGATCGGATTTACATATAAAATTGGGCACATTCTGAAGTTATTCTTCCCTAAACGGTAAGCTCTGAGCACTAAACATGTCACTTGTGTTAATCACACTAACCTGGGGAGTACATTAATCAATTCTGCCAATTAGATTTCGCTCACCGGGAAACTTAGCAGAGGAGAAAATTCAACGTGTGATGTGCTAAGAATGTCAGCCTGACTCAGATGGTAGCACTTTCATCCCCAGGTCAAAAGATTGTGGGTTCAAGCCCTTTGAGCTCACACTCTAAGGTGACATTTCAATACAGTGCTGGGGGGAGCACTGCATTGTCGGAAGTGCCACCCTTCGTATGAGACAGTAAACTTAAGATCACCTTGTGCTCTGTTCTGGTGGGTTTTAAAGATCCCGCGGCACTATTGGAAAAGAGAAGGGAATTTCTCTCCCTTGGTGTCCTCGCCGACAATCCCCTGGATAAAATTGGTCGTTCACTTCACGGCTATTTGTGGGGCCATTTCTGTGTGTGAATTAGCTGCCGTGTTGGCCCACAAAATACAGTACAACAACAACAAGATTACATTTGTATGGTGCCTTTTACCGGGAGGACATCCCAAGGTGCTGGACAGTGTATACCATTTCAGACCCGAGCTGGGGTCAGGGTGGGAGAAGGGAGGGGAAGGGGGGTGGGCAATGGCATGGTCGAAGAGGAGGGCCTTGAGGCGGGACTTGAAGGAGGCTAAGGAGGGGGAGAGGCGGAGTGACTGGGGGATGGAATTCCAGAGGTTGGGGGCAGAGTGGCTGAAGGCTCTCCCGCCAATGGTGGGGCAGGTCGGTCGGGGGACATTGAGCATGCCGAAGCCGACTGAGCAGAGGGAACGGGCAGGTTGGTAAGGGGTAAGGAGGTCGCAGAGGGGCGAGGCCATGGAGGACTTTGTAGGTGAGGACCAGGATCTTGAACTGGGGGAGATGGGGTCACGGAGTTTGGTGCTGGAGAGGACACGGGCTGCAGAGTTAGTTCTGGATTATCTGCAGCCTGTGGAGGGAGGAGTTGGAACATCCAACCAGCAGGGCATTTGCATAGTCGAGCCTGGAGGTGATAATAATCCTTGCATTTGATATTTGATAAACAAGAGTTTCAGTGGCCTGAGTTACTACACTTTACAGTGTTGTGATGAGAGGCGT